TCAATCTCTTTCAGAATTTAACTTATTAGGTTTTTCGGAAAATAATTTCCTCTTTAAGAATAAAACTTTTATTATCAGTTTTATATATTATAATAGTTGCACCAAAATATATTACCCATTTCAAACGGACTAAATTTTCATTTTTCTAAATTCTCTATCAATTTCTTTCAGAATTTAACTTATTAGATTGGTCGTAAAATAATGTCCGTTTTAGAATAAAACTTTTATCTGTATTTTTATATATTATAATAATTATTATAATAGCTGCACAAAACTATATTACTCGTCCCTAATGATTAAAGAGTCCTCTTTGTTAAATCTATATAAATTTCTTTGAGAATTTAAATTATCAGGTTCGTCGGAAAATAATATCCGATTTTTAGAATGAACTTTTTAATTGTGTTCTAATACATTATAATCGTTCTACAAAAAATATATTACTCATTCTTAATTATTAAAATATCCTCTTTGTTAATGTTATATCACTCTCTTTCGGACTGTAACTTATTAGGTTGGTCAGAAAATAGTTTTCTATTTTAGAATAAACCTTTTATTTGTTTTGTTTTTTATATTATTATAATAGTTGCTCAAAAATATATTACTCATTCCTAATTATTAAATGTCCTCTTTGTTGAGTCTATATCAATATCTTTCAGAATTTAACTTAAAACATTATACACCCTTCATCTTGAACATGAAAAAAGAACAGATGCGCTTATACTTTTTTGAATGAGTTCAGGCTTGATCAACATGGTTCTCAAACTGAAGCCTAGATTAACAGAGTCTGGAGTGAAGCATGCACTTGTGATTGCTGGTTTCTAAAGTTCCACAGTGGGGACACAAGTTTTTTTAAAATCAAGGTTGATGTCGTCTGCAATTGACAATCAAAATCTCAAAACACTTGTCGAAAAGAAAACCACGTAAGGAAAAATCTCAACGAACGAGTGTCAGCATTTCAACAATGTCGAACCATCTGAAAAAAATTAATAAAGTAAAAAAAACTCGATAAATGGATTCCACATGAAGTTAGTGAATTCGTCGTTTTGTTGTGTGTTTGATGCTACGCCTGAAAAACACGAATAATGAACGATGATGTGAAATGGATCCTCTACGTTAATCGTAAAGGATCGGCTTAATGGTTTAATCATGATGAAGAGCAAAACACTTTACCAAACCAAAATTGCACCAACACAAGATTATGGTGACTAGTGGGCCACCATTGGCGTTACCCGTTACAGTTAAGAGTAAAAAAAAAAAGAAGAAAAAAAAGAAAGAACCAAAGACTACGTAATAAATATATATGAACTGAGATAATTACGAGAAAGAAAGAAAGAAAGAAAGAAAGAAAGAAAAGAAGGAACGAACGAACGAACGAAAGAAAGAAAAAAAGAAAGAAAGAAAGAAAGAAAGAATGCACAAGTATAGTGAAATGGTCTCTTCTGTCGCAGGTGTTTATAAACCATGTAGCTAGTAAATTTACTTAAATTCCCCTTATTGCTTTCCTGAATATTACATGTGTTGCCAATGTCTTTTAACATGACTTCATTTTGACTAAAATATTACCGTAGTAAAATACGAAATTGTAGCAGGAAGAAAGAAAGAAAGAAATAAACTAAGACACAAATAAACAAATAAAGAAGAAAAGTATTAAAGCGTTCGAAATTATATATATATATATATATATATATATATATATATATATACGCCAATTCAACCGGGTTTCGATCCTAGCTAGAGACAACCAGACGTCTAGCCACACTGATGATCTGTGATATAATGAAAACGTCTTTCAATGGATGACAATATATATGCTCCTGAAAAATTATTTTGGTTAAGCTCTCCGGGGAGAAAGTGTAAGTTTGTAAAGAGTGACTAATTATGGCTACCACTGCAATACTCTTCGATAAAACGAATTGAGTTCAGTCACTCTAAAAAAGTCAAATTCCCTTCATGGCCTGAACGGCTTATCTAAAATCCGACCGACACCAATTCAATAGATGCAATTTAATGACAATATATATATATATATATATATATATATATATATATATATATATATATATATATATGTTGAAGCTTAAATAAGCATGGAATAATACAACCAAAATGTACGCCAACAAAATGTATTGAAACAAAAAATAGGTAGAAATATTTACAGTTAGTTTGATATTCTTGGGGACTTCAGCATAATCGGGGTTTCGATGCTAGATCTCTGGATTCAATTTCTTAATCGGACGTCTTCCCCGCTTCCGGTACCAACCCATATTTATATGGTCGGTAGACCGCTTATGTATATATATATATATATATATATATATATATATTCGACCTTAGACATGACACAGATATATATGTATGTGCGTGTGTGTATGATAGAGTGAAGTGTTATAGTATGCTATATTTATAGGTTAAAGCGTCACATATCAGGGATAGAGCGTAAGTAAATATAAAATTGGACAATGAAGTCAACACCCAGATATTTAAGCGGAATCCTGCCGATTGTCTTTCAACACGGAGTAGACTATCGATGCGGGGTGCTGATTCAGAGTCCACTTTTATACCGGGTGAAACAGCAAAATTGTTCAAATCGCGTAACAGAAAAATTGTCTAATTGTTAGATCAAGATTTGAAGCGTTGTATCTTAGAAATGATTAAAAATATCTTACTGGAATTTAGCAAGTTTTTTTTTTTTTTACACTATTCGACTCTACTTTGAGCAATAATTACCATCCAAGCTTAAAAGAAGAATCGTGATGAAATCGATCATAAACGAAAATGACATGTTCATCATTAATTAATCATAGCTAAGGATTGGAAACTCATGAAGTATTGAAATACAGTTCATATATATATATATATATATATATATATATATATATATATATATAATTCCAGGATCATTTTCAATTTATTCAAGATGATCTTGGCCCTCTCTAACCTTCTAACTTTCTTTTCTGGAGTAACAAGTTACCTCGCAGGTTTCACGTACGATTTCATATTCAAGTCATTTTTCACTGCTCTTTGGACTGTCATAGCTGAAACTACTCTCTTACGTGCCAAACGTCTTATGGATCTTTTCTAATTGATCTCTTTTGCTCTGGGCTGAAATGATGATCCCTCTTCCTGTTGTAACCACCTTAAGCATTTTTCCTTTCTTTTTAAAACTTATTCGCCGTTCTCTTGATAGTTCTTGAATGGATTTTGAACATGGATGAGTATTGGTAACATTGCTGAATGATCTTTTTCTATTCACCATTACTCTGTTGAGAAGACAGAGAGTCTGACACAAAACAATTTTAACCTATTCTCTTTTGAGTTGAATAACTCAAAGGGTTTTTTTCAGTGATTCTTACGAATAATGCAGCCAAACGTCTTATCTGGGAACCTAGAAAAAAGAAACAAATAGTTTACTTGTGTTTTAGATATTAAACATGTTGTGGAATGGATAATTATATTGTTACACGATTTGTACAATTTTGATATTACATCTGTTATATATATAATATGAATGTTAAAGTCAGTATGAATGTTAAACGCTTACGGCCATAACACGTGGAAACACCAGTTATCGTATGATTACCGAAGTTAAGTAATGTCGAACTTAGTCAGTATCTGGATGACTGGCCGCTTGGAAATGACAGATGCGGAAGATGTAAGGCATAACGGCTCGGAATGGGAAATTGTTCAAATGTTGCTTCTTCCGAGCAAAATAGAAACAACATTTGGACAGTTTGTTTTTTTGTATATATATATTTTATCTTCTGAAAAGAACAAAATTATAAGATCACATCAAAAACTATATAAAAAACTTAATCAAAGCACCTTGTCTGTCATATTTAATAAAACTTGCATGAAAGAAGGATTGCTGCCTAAATACACAATATATATATATATATATATATATATATATATATATATATATATATATATATATATATATATATATATATATATATATATAGATAGATAGATAGATAGATAGATAGATATAACTAATTACCATCTAATTTTTCCCCAATATGCTTTGTCCATTTTTTCTTTTTTAAATAATTTAGTATATTAACCTCGATTTAGCTCTGTTGAGTGAGGTTTGAAACCGGTTAACTAACCCATTTTTCATTTTCACTTTTTATTATCATCATGAGTGGTAATAATAAAATTATTTGTTGTCTATTTTATATATATATATATATATATATATATATATATATATATATATATAAAAAATTATTTTTTATCTATTTATGGCGGTTATATATATATATATATATATATATATATAAAAAATTATTTTTTATATATTTATATATATATATATATATATATATATATATATATATATATATATAGATAGATAGATAGATAGATAAGCGGTTTCAAACAGAGCTAAACTGAGGTTAATAAACTAAATCATTTAAAAAGAAAATGGACAAAGCGTATTGGGGAAAAAAATTAGATGGTAATTAGTTTGAGGCCTAATACAAAGTTTATTCTTTTATATATATATATATATATATATATATATATATATATATATATATATATTAAAAAACATAGGAGATCAGCCGATTCCGCTACCTTGGTTTCAAAATTGGCCGGAGTAGCCTGAAGATACCGAAAGATTGAAACCAAAGTAAGAGGAATCGGTTGATCTGCTAATGTTTCTATCCTTAAAAGTGCTACATGCTATTTTTTATATACGTTTATAGAGTCTTTTTTCCTGATCTAATTCAACTCTGGCCATTAGCTTTTTTTTATTATTATTATTATTATTAGATAGATAGATAGATAGATAGATAGATAGATAGATAGATAGGAACAGACTGAGATTGATAGATCAAAACAGACTGAGAAAATAGATAGATAGATAGATAGATAGATAGATAGATAGATAGATAGATAGATAGATAGATTGATAGATAGATAGTTATGAACAAGTTAAATAAATAGATATATATGAACAAGTTGAAATAGATAGATAGATATGAATAAAAATATATTTAGATATATAGACGTAACAGACTGAGATAGATAGATAGATAGATAGATAGATAGATAGATAGATAGATAGATAGATAGATAGATAGATCAAAACAGACTGAGAAGATAGATAGTTATGAACAAGTTAAATAAATAGATATATATGAACAAGTTGAAATAGATAGATAGATAGATAGATAGATATGAATAAAAAGATATTTAGATGAGATAGATAGATAGATAGATAGATAGATAGATAGATAGATAGATAGATATGAACAAGTTAAATTAAATAGATTGATAGATATGACCAAGTTGAAATAGGTAGATAAATATGAATAAAATTCAGATAGATAGATTGATATAACAGACTGAGATAGAAAGGAACAGACTTAGGTAGATGGATCGAAATAGACTTAGATAGATAGATAGATAGATAGATAGATAGATAGATAGATAGATAGATAGAATCAATAAAATCAATAAAATTTATTATATATCAAGGTTGACAATGAAACTGACTGTATTGTGCAACTATTGTCTTATTAGGTAAGAACTTGATTTATGAATGGACAATATTTTTTTTCCGATAGGCAATCGCGATAAAAAGAAAACAGAAAGAAAATTTCTAACTTTAGGAAAGATTATTTTGATTACACTGAATTAATATCACACAATGTAAACCACAAAGAAGAACGAGGTGTTATAAAAAAAGACAAAAACAAGACATCGTTTATCTAACCACAATTACAACCTCTTGAATTGCAAACCACGAACGTGTCAAAGGAAGTTTGAAATGACGTCATAAATTCGCAGGGCGTAGAGTTAAAATTAAATTACTGTCGTTGTATTTATTTAAATATTCTTCAAATTTCCACGCTTAATAATTATCGGTTGTAATTATGAATAAAAAATTGCATTGAAAAAAGCAGCATGTCCAATTTGTAGACTGATTTTTTTTAATAACACATAGCTTTTGTTTCTTGCTTATTTATTTTCATATATACAATCAGCTTTTGTAGACTGGTATCGCATTTGCAAAAATATCCGCCTGTTTACTGATGATAGATTTTAAAGAGCGTAGGACCGAGGGATTAAAAAAAAAAGTGGATAAGAAAAATGATTAAGACTAAACTTTCCAGTATGATTAGCTTAAACGATAATGAAATGAAAAAAAGAAAGAAATCTATTCAATAATTTAAGAGTCAGAAGAAGTATTAAAATATAATAAAAAGAAAGATATCTAACAAAGAATGAAAGAGACAGAAGAAAAAATAAAGCCTAATAAAAAGAAAGAAAGAAAGAAAGAAAGAATGGAAGGAGGGAAAATATCAAAGACAGAAAAAATTAAAGCACAATAGAAAGAAAGAAAGAAAGAAAGAAAGAAAGAAAGAAAGAAAGAAAGAAAAAGAATTTTTTTCAAAGAATGAAAGTGATAGAAGAAAAAATAAAACATAATAAAAAGAAAGAAATATCTCAAAAAATGAAAGAGAAAAAAAATTAAAGCATACTGGAAAGAAAGAAAAAAGAAAGAAAGAAAAACAGAGAAAAAGAAAGAAAGAAAGAAAGAAACAAACAAACAAACAAACAAAAACAAAGAAAACCATAGATATTTACATATGGACTGAAATAGGAATGACTATGTTCAGATAGATAGATAGATAGATAGATAGATAGATGATTATCAACTGAGATAGATAGATAGATAGATAGATAGATAGATATAGATAGATATCAACAGACTGAGATAGATAGATATCAGCAGATTGAGATAGATAGATAGATAGATAGATAGATATCAGCAGATTGAGATAGATAGATAGATAGATAGATAGATGATAGATAGATAGATAGAGATATAGATTGAGATAGATAGATAGATAGATAGATATCAGCAGACTGAGATAGATAGATAGATAGATAGATAGATAGATGAATAGATCATATCAGCAGACTGAGATAGATAGATAGATAGATAGATAGATAGATAGATAGATAGATACCAAGAAGCAATTTCCACCTCTTAATTTATTAATTTACTTTCATTGATTACAAAACTAGTAGTGATAACTCCAACCTAAATATATGCAATTCATCTCTGGCTTAGTTTTTAAAATCAGCTAGAAAACATTCCCATTTACTACTATAACTATCATTTGAATGTATCCCTCCCTTCCTCTTTCATCGTATTACTATCTCCTATTCTCAACCTTCTTTCTCCACTCCTCACTATCAGAAGGCTTGGAAATGTTGTGCCTAAACCCTTGACAGTTGTTGTCAAAAAGAAGTTTTTTTTTCAAATTTAGCCATTATTTTAACACCTCAACCATCCTTCACCAAACTGCTATCAACAACCACTATTGTTTCACTCCGTCACCTTTTTACCTGTATGTAATTTTTTTTATCAAACAAATGGAAAAAAAGCCATTTTTGACATGCAACTTGCTTATATACAGAATTGTTCATAAGCATTTTGTTTCTCGCCAGTCGAAGTGCAATTCAAATGCATTGAAGCGAAGTTGCATCTTTGTAGTGAGTAAATTGTTTTTTGTTATATTTATATATATATATATATATATATATATATATATATATATATATATATATATATATATAATTATTTTTAAAAATGATTCCATCTCTATATAAGAGTTCTCATGTTTCAAAAACAAAAGCTAAAAAAACAGCTCTATTTCATCCTAAAGCGAATTTTGGAATAATGAATCTTGAAAATTACGGAGCTTTTTATGTATGTATACGCCTAAAAAGCTCCGCAAATTTCAAGATTAGTTATTCCAAAATTCGTTTGAGGATGAAATAAAGTTATTTTTTTGCTTTTATTTTTGAAACCTGAGAACTCTTATATAGCGAAGGAATCATATTTTATAAAAATAATTATAATTTAGGCTCTACTTATGTATTGAGCACTGTTTTTCAAAAATGAAAACCAAAATATTTTGGAGTATTAACCTAACGGTTCTTTCCTATTTTTCTATATATTTGCACACACACACACACACACACACACGTGCATATATATATATATATATATATATATATATATATATATATATATATATATATATTAATATAAATTAATTAATATAAAATATTTTTGAAAAAATAAATCATTAACACAATTAATTAATATAAAAATTAAAAGAATTGGAATTTCAACAGTAATCTACGCCATAGTAAATATTAAAAAGAAAAAACAACTTTAAAACTAGCAGAAAACGAGATCAAGTGACGTAAGTTAGCGTCCATTTTACTTTACCAATTGTTTTGACTGTAAAGTTGAATTAAAACTTAGAAAGATTACGTATACAAAGTAAAATCATATAAAAATTATGATTTATTATATAAATAAATTTAATATATTAATAATAAATAATATTATTAATTTTAAATATTAATAATATAAAATAAAATATGAATATATTAATATAAATTGATTAATATAAAATATTTTTAAAAATAAAATATTAACAATAAAATTAATCTACAAGGGTGGCTAACTAATCCCTGATATTTCTATAATCTACAAGGCTCAATAGAAACTATCTCTGGTGGATTAGTAAAATCAGTCGATACTTTTTTACATACCTAGGAAGCGAAATAATTTATACTGAAACGGATTTGAAAATTCTTATAACTATAAGATAACTTATAACTATTATATTCTTCTATATCTTGATCGCCTTAAATAAAATGAACATAATCTGAAAATCCGATCGACCAGACAACTTCAAGAGGAGATTCTTTCAAGCCACTGCAGAGGCGGTGTAAATGTATGGTGCCACTGCTTGGAAATTAACTAAAGACCTTGAGTCTAAACTTGATGGAACCTACATACGGACGCTCAGAGCTATATTTAACGTCTGCTAGAGACAACATCCAACAAAATCTCAGCTCTCTGGACCCGTCTCTGATATTTCTACAATTTACAAGGCTCAATAGAAACTACCTCTGGCGGACCAATAAAATCTGTCGAAACTTTTTACATACCAAGGAAGCGAAATAATTTATACTGAAAAGGATGTGAAAATTCGTATAACTAAAGACTTGATCGCCTTAAATAAAATGAACGTAATCTGGAAAACCGATATACCAGACAACCTCAAGCGGAGATTCTTTCAAACCACTGCAGAGGTGGTGTTAATATATGGTGCCAATGCTTGGGCATTAACTAAAAACCTTGCGTCGAAGCTTCATGGAATCTATATTCGGACGCTGAGAGCTATATTTAACGTCTCCTGAAGACAAAATTCAATTAAATCTCAGCTCCCCGATATTTCTACAATCTACATGGCTTCTGGCGGGTCAATAAAATCTGTCAAAGACTTTTTACATACCAAGGAAGTGAAATAATTTATACTTACAAGGATGTAAAAATTTACATAACTGAAGACTTGGTCGCCTTAAATAAAATGAACGTAATCTGGAAATCCGTTCTACCAGACAACCTCAAACGGAGATTCTTTTAAACCACTGCTCTATGGACCCATCCCTGATATTTCTAGAATCTTACGCGAACACAGAATGCAATTTACATGACACTGCTGGAGAGCCAAACAAGAACTTCCAAGTGATCTATTGCTCTGGACACCTAGCCATGGCGCAAGATGGGCTGGTCACCTAGCAACTACCTCGGCTGACCAGCTATGTTATGACACAGAATGACACTCCAATGACCTTTTCGACCTTATTGTAGGACTTATGAACGTTCGCGCTAGATTTACTGAATAAAATAAACTTAGTATAAACACCACGACGAGGCGCTTATGGAAAATATGATGAAGATTAGTTGAAGGTTTTGTAGTAAAAGCACGTACGAAATCATTAGACTGAGTGCATATTTTGACGGACTTGTTTAATACATCTTCTCTTCATCTTCGGGTGTGCCATGACCCTCAAGACGTTGGCGATCAAGGCTCTGCACAGATCCTTGTCTTTGTTTTAACTCTTTGCAAATATTGTCTTTTTGGTATCTCTCCTCATTCATTTACGTATATGCCATTTAATAGCAATTTATTAATTAATTCAGTAGAAATGAAGAAATTTAAAATTAATTATCTAAGTTCAGTCACAGTGGAGGGGAGCTTCCTTCGAGGCAATACCTCGATTCCTGGAGGAAGTTAGAGTGATTACCTCGCTACCTGAGGCATTCAGAAAAATGTGTGTGTGTGTGTGTTTTGTGTGTGTGTGTGTGTGTGTGTGTGTGTGTGTGTGTGTGTGTGTGTGTGTGTGTGTGTGTGTGTGTGTGTGTGTGTGTGTGTGTGTGATCGGGGTCACTTTTTCTTCTTAACCTATGTACGCCTGGGTTCGCATTTTAAACATGGTCTTGGCTCATATTGATACTAAATTAATAAAAAAAAAATAGAAATAGTGCAAATAAAAAGAAAGAATTGACAAGAAAGGGAAGGAAGAAGAAAAAAGTAAAAAGAAAATGAAAAGAAACGATGAACATAAATCACAAACAAAACGGAACATTTTTCTCGCAATTGTACACGCTTGATGAGGCGAGATGGAAGTGAAGGAAGAAGAAAATATGGCGCCGCACCTTAACACCGGAAGTTCGCTTGTTACCCCGGAAACATCTATTTATTATGAGAAGATGGATTGTGTTTATGTCCGCTAATCAGGCAACAGACAATTTTTAATCAAAATATTCTCAAAAGTGCGCACGAATAAACCCATTACTAAAATTGCATTACTGTACAGGTTTACAAAGATTATTCCTCTCAGCTTAAAATAAGGAACTTCTTCAGGCAGTAACTTTCCCAATGGAGAACAAGTTTTGATCAGGGGCAATTGAGACGTTCCCAAATAAGAAAATGTCAAGGGAGCTTCTTTCTCACTAAAGTTCAAATAATACAAGCCTCTAGAGTAAATGTTCTCAACCGGGATCCATATGGACCCTGAAGGCTCATGTAGCATTACTAGGGGTGGGAAACACAAAAATAGAAATTTGCGGGCCCACGGTAAACTTTTAGTCGGTCATAGAGCAATTTTACTTCCGAACGGACGTTAAAATTGGGAATTGGAATTTCTGCATGATGATCCGCAATATTGAAATACTAAAAACAACTCTAAAACTAGCGATGTAAGTCTACAGGATGTTTAGATTGTAAAATTTGAATAAAATTGAGAATGATATATAAAAGGTTTATATATATAACTAGCTTAAATGCCACCAGATATGACGGCTTTTAAGCTAGCCGCTGCGGAGGGCTCTTAATTCGGCTTCTGATTGTTATTATATAGAAGTTAAAGTTATTGAAAGTTAGAGAGTTGTGTCCCTTTAATTGAAAAAGTGTGACACACAGACATTTTCCCCTTTATTATATAGAAGGAAAATTATATAAAGGTTATAATTTATTTAAAAATTAATTTAATATATTAATAATAAATATTAATATTAATTTCAAATATTAATAAAATATTAATATAATAATATATATTAATTAATATAAAATATTAAAAAAAATAAAATATTAACACAATTAATTTAATGCAAAAATTAAAAGAAATGGAATTTCATCAGCAATCTACGCCATATTAAAATATTAAAAAAATTATATATTAACACAATTAATTTAATGTAAAGATTAAAAGAAATGGAATTTCATCAGCAATCGACGCCATATTAAAATATTAAAAAACAGAAAATGAGATCAAGCGACGTAAGTTTGCGTCCATTTTACTCTACCGAATGTTTTAACTGCAAAGTTGAATAAAAACTGAGAAGGATTTATAAAGGAAGGATTATCTATATGTAAAGGGAAAGTATATAATGATTATAATTTAGTATATAAATTAATTTAACATATTAATAATAAATAATATTGTTAATTTTAAATATTGATAAAATAAAATATGAAAATATTAATATAAATTAATTAGTATATAATATTAAAACAAATAAAATTTTAATAATAGCATTAATTTAATATATAAACTATATAAAGATGATATATAAAGGAAGTATATACATTTACTATTCTTATAATACAATTCCTAAACTTATATATTAATAAAAAATAAAATAAGCTTTTTTCATCGAATGGTTATGGGGTCCACCAAAAAAAAAAAATAAAAGTGGGACATAGGTAAAAACAAAGGTTGTGAACTACTGCTCAAGAGTCACTCAAAGTAGAGAATTACCAAATGAGATATGCGACATGTATAGGTGATCAGAAGTTAAAATTATATGAATAAGGAGGATAGATACTGATTTGTTCTTAACCTGAAACTTAGGGTTGTATTTTTCAGGAAAGCAACGACGCGGGAGTCTGATCTGCCAAGTAACATTTATTGGGAAAAATTTGTCTTGGATCTTTCTTCTTTGAATTGGAATTTAGAGGAAATTAAGGTAATTTAACTCCTTGGGCGTGTCCTAGCTGCAAAAGGCTGAACTGTTAAAGTTGGAATAGAGCTCGTCGGAAAATAGCCATAGACTTTTAATGTCGCGTCTGTGAGAAAGCGATTACAGAATAAGTCATCACCCGCAAGACGATGGTAAACGATTCTGTCAAGATTGGAAAGTAAGGATCGAATAACTCCATAAAGCGGTGATATTCCATTTTCGGTCGAATCAGATCCTCGTATGGTTAGTAACCAAAACTGTTTTTCGTCTGTCTTAATTTAACAGGTTTTATCCTAAAAACTTATTAAACGTAGGAGTTCTCCATGGTGGCCCGAAAGTCTTGCCACACTTACCAAAAAATATAATGAGAATAATAGAACAACATGTAATACAGGAATACAAAGCATATGGACTGGATTCAGTTTATTCACTTTCATTGACGCTCACACATCGACAAGGTCTGTATGAGCATCATCAATTTTTTTGTGTCAGTCATCTGAAATAGAAAATTTATATCATATAGAGGTAACAAGACTTTCGGACCACCCTGTATATGAAACTTGGCTTTGTTCCATATTTTGCTCTAGTGGACACGATGATAAAAAATAAAGACAACAGCCATTGGTTTGATGTCAGGTTTTACAGAATATTTCCACAGAACCGTGAATCGGCGAATTTCAATATATTTAATTAACTTCCGGATGAAAAATGGACGCATATAAATTTCCAAGTTTTATTTTTATTTTATTCTTTTATTTTTTTTCTTTATTTTTTATGTTATATTCATTATTTATTTTTTATTTATATGCATCTTTTTTTATTTTTTTGGAGCAAGAGCTAGACCCGTCTTCGCCGAAAAGTAGCGGAATTTTCGACAAGATTTGCCGTATGTATTCCTAGTAACAATCATTATATATGAATTATATATGAATATATATAATTACAATCCTTAAATACGCATATATAATTCTATCAACAAAAACATTACTTCAGTCTGATGAAGTCCTTCTAGGAAACGAATCGTGTTACACAATTCCTTCCGTTTTGTCTCATTCAATGGCTTAACATTGTTCTGATATACATATATATATATATATATATATATATATATTATATATATATTGAAACAGACTGTCGCCTTTAAGTGTTGACTTCTATGTTCACTTTTATATTTACACACGCTCTGTCTCTGATATCGAGCACTTTATCCCATAAACATAGCACACCTTAAGACTATATTTCTTCATTCATATATATATATATATATATATATATATATATATAGAAAGGGTGTTCTAATAACTTGGCCCGATTTTAAATGTGAATTAAGTTTAAGCGTCTAATATTTTTTTTTGTTTTTTCTTTCAGAAGGTCTTTAGCAATATCAACCATGGAAAGATTAACAATCAAACAACGTGTTAAAGTTATCGAAGCCTATTAGGAAAATGGACGTTCAAACAGAAATACATTTCTTGCACTTCGCTATTTTTCGTGAACATAATCGACGAACCGTGAGTGCAATGTGACGTTGTTGTGTAGAGGTTCAATTCTTGCGCGCGATGACGAATAGAGGTGTCTGGATTTTCAGCCACATTTCCGTGCACTGCAGCAATGTTTTCAGCTGAACGGCGTAAGCGAGCACGCAGTGGTATTTTCACATCTGCCACCGACCCAGTTTGTTTGAATTTACGAACAATTTTTCGAATTGCACGTTTGAAATTTTATATATATTTATCATCTTCTCCCCAAGTAAGACTATAGAAGTTTCTACTTGTGGCGATTTGGTCAACAGAGATTGTTTTGTTGATTAATTTGCTTTTTTATGACTTATCAACCCTTTGCACGTTATTTAAAGCTCAAACATATTTCGGGTTGATAAATGAAAATACGGAGTCTTTGTAGCAGTTTGTACGCTTGACTGAGTTTCGTTATTAAAATCAAGCAAAAAATAAGTTAATGGCAAAGTTAAATCTGTATGATTTTGTAGCGAGACAGCCAATTGCGGAAAAGGGATATTATTTAGTGATGTACTTTTATGCAAATTATAAATGTACGATTTACCATAAGCAGTTAGCGAGCTTGTTTCAGTATTATTACATTTTGAAGACATATATTGTCATGTGTTGAATGCGATCCTTCTTCCACTGGGGATTAAAAAATCCCTCCGAGGGGAAACGGGACTTGTCATTTCGTATTCTCTGGGTAAAGAATGTGACAGAAGAAAATATAGAGAATATGTGGCCTTTCATTATATGCTTCTTTTTGAAACCGCCATCTAGCGTGTGTTAAAACTACCCTGGCCGACAGGAGAGGTAATCATACACTGTCCTTAATATTCACAGCGTGTTCACATAACAGTATAATTATGGTTTCAGGAGTTGTGAGGATAAGCAACTGAAAATAAAAACTAAAGAAATGATAGTAAAAAGTAAATGCGTTAATAATTTCTTGTTATTAAATCATAAACTACAAACTGATTTTCGTCCTGGGTAAGACGAGAAACTACATCCAACAGCAAGGCCACAGATCAGGAGACATTGAGGATCGGGAAACAAACCCTTAATTACTGGTGTTCCCAGGTCCATCATGACCCGGGGTGGTAGCACCTGTTACGGTCCAAGCTATGGGCAAATATGACCCACCAAACTGGGTTAAAACACTAACATGTGTAAAAATAGGCTTTAAAACTAGGAATACATTTTTGAAAAAAAATTATTACCAGCAATACATTTTTCAAAAAAAAAAGTTACCAGCAAATCATTTTTGACAAAAAATATATTACCAGCAATAAAAGTCTTGTCGGCATTAAATAACACATTGTGGTTGATATGCCGTAAAACAAAACAAACCAAACCAGACCAAACAAACTGATTTCAATATACCGACGTCTCTCTCTATATATACATACATATATATATATATATATATATATATATATATATATATATATATATATATATATATATATATA